CTTCCTGTAGTCAGCCGCTGGTCAGTTTCAGCAGCGGCTGAATCTGGATGCCAGTTCCAACTTACATACAGATTCAACTTAAGAACAAACCTACAGTCCCTATCTTGTACGTAACTGCCTGTACAACAAAAAAGCATAAAATATTGAACAGACTCTTAAGTAAAACCAGTACTCTGAGGAATCGTCAAATAATATAAATAATAATTTTATATTGCATTGAAGCAGTTTCAGCAGCGGCTGAATCTGGATGCCAGTTCCAACTTACATACAGATTCAACTTAAGAACAAACCTACAGTCCCTATCTTGTACGTAACTGCCTGTACAACAAAAAAGCATAAAATATTGAACAGACTCTTAAGTAAAACCAGTACTCTGAGGAATCGTCAAATAATATAAATAATAATTTTATATTGCATTGAAGGATATCAAAAACCCTTTAAACATACTATATACATGTAAGCAAACATTCTATGGGATTATTCTGAAAAAGAAGCACAAGCTTAAAGTACTTTTCTGGCCTTGGTAAGACTGCTGAAATAGGATCTAATTACACAAACCCTTTTTCTCATCTGATCTGATATTACATGTGGCTGATAAAACACAAATTTAACTCTGTTACTTGTTTTTGTTGTTAAAATCTCCATTCCAAGAGTCATTTATTATTTCCTCCAGGCATCTACCTCAAGAGGAATACAAATTAATTTAATATAGTTGGTAAGAATATAAGTAGAAAAATAATCTGTGCAGCTACACAGTGTATACCTAATGGCAATTATTAAGCATTTATTTCTGGCTGCTCACAACATAGGCAAAGCACTTTTCACACAGAATAGGTGTGACTGATGAGCTCGCTATCTGAAGATAGATAAAAAGAGAGCAGAGGAAAGCACCACAACATATATGCAATTAAGCAACCATACACTTCCTACCTTTCTATAGTTAACATTCCCTTTGTGTTCACTGAAAAATTCCACAGCTCTGTGTGCTGAAAACATAAAATATTAAAAACTGACAAAAGTATTGTGCCTAGATCCATCTTTAGTTAGAAGTACATACTATCAAAAGTTGGGCACTGAAATGAATGTAAGTATATTTTTAACACAAGTGGCATTGACATACAGCACATTGATCCTTGTGACATTTCCCATGTGGCAATAAATGAAATGTTTTCTCCTCGTACCGAACGGCAGGTTTTTTAATACAGGAAAAGATTATATGCTTTTGAAGACAGACTGAGACCTCGTTCCCCTTGACTCTCCAGTTCCCAGAAACCCCAAGCTGCGTTGACCAGCCTAATACTGTAATGCTACAAAGGGTCCCCCGGTGTCCTAACCCAGACTATAGCTAATTAAGGAACAGAATGCTGATTCACTGAGCTCATATGCGGTACGTTCCACAAAATTCTAAGTATCACTAGAAAGACTACTGAGTTGGATCCTTAAAGTAATTCTTATCATTTTAATTTATTCTTATTATAAGACATAGTATTTAAATTCCCCTATAGTATTGAAGCTGATATAACCTGTGATCCATTGGTAATGTTTAAGTACATGATTAATTTTTATCATACATGAAAAAGACAAACATTTGAAGTCAGCAAAGAAAATAAGGTGTTTACTCACTGATCAGTTATACAGGCACATTGCCAAGTAGTATTTGCAAGGCAAGAATCACACTACATAAAATAAATGGACATCACTATTTTAAAGTGAAATAAAATATTGTTTAAATGTTGATTACATTTGATTTGTGTCAACGTGATAATCCCCAGAGACAATTGATTTACTAGTATTCTCTTTGTAAAAGGATTGGGTTCAAACTGCAAACCCACCAGCTATTCAATTCCTGTTATGATTACTGGTTTCATTTTGTTTATTAAAATTATATTAGACAAAGCACACACAGACACTTTAGGAAACAGTCATGTATCAGCAACCGAACAGACAAGATGACTTAATAGGCCTTTCCCACTTCTTAGTTCTTTATTTTAAACAGAGAAGGGATATACATTTCCAGTGCCTGGAATTCTTGGATTGGAGATTGATTTCCTCTACTTCTCCATACACACTATCGGTTAATATATTGATTCTGCAAGTTGATCTGTGCATGCAGATCTTTACAATGGTAGAACCTCAGAGATCTCAGAATGTTTGTCCATGCAAATCTTTTTGTACGGCCAAAGCAAATAGAATAGAAAGAAGCATTGCTACCTACACCAAACTCAACATTTTGACTATATAATTAATTTTAAAATCCTTTGAGAAACATGAACATAAAAGGTGTTATATAAAATCAAATTCTATTCCATTTCTGCCACGTTTGTTTTCCATAATGTGCAACTTGTGGATCATACTGTAAACTAGAAATGGTGTATGAAATTAAATGTCTTTACCTGCATTAGCACTGGACATCTTTATTATAAGTCTAGTCTTACCACCATTTAAGTGAATGGCAGAACTCCAATTTGCTTCAGTGGAAACAGATTGACTTGAGGGAGAAAGATTGGATTCAACTAGTGGTAATTGCAGACAAAAAACTAACATATGGTTATAAACTTTGACCTAATAGCAAATTATAAGGAATATTAGTTAGGTAATCATGATAAACAGATTAAATAAATGTAGCCCTTAAAAAAAAGGAAAATATATCAATTTTGTCCTTGTATAGAAAGAGTTGATTAATTTGGAATAAATCTGCCCAAATCTGAATTTTTTGTAAGGAGATCTGAATTCTCTCCATCTTGTTATTTCAAATTATTGACAGAGTGCCAGATTCTGCCACCCTTGCTCACAGAAGCACTTAAAAGGCCTTACATCCTGCAAAGATGTGTGCCCCTACTTAACTTTATGCACTACAGGTTGTCCTATTCATTTCAATAGGACTACTCATGGGTGTATAACGTTAAGCATCTGCATATGTCTTTGCAGGATCCAGGCCTTCAATATACTGGCCCTGAATAAATTCTGTGCATAATCTTCGTCTATAATTTGTTCACAGCAAATATTCAATATTTAACATTTGAGAAGTTTGATTGGTCAAAGGCCACATGCTATGTTTTTATTCCCTATCTGGTTAAGATGAGCGCTGAGAGTAAGGGTTTCTGGGTCAAATACAACTATGAAGTAAAATTTGTTGTGAATGAACATTCTGCAACATTCACTTAAAATTCACTGTTTCCATTAATATTTTGCTATTAAGCAAACCCATTTGTTTAGCATATTTACAGAAAACAAATACAAAAATGAATTCATTTACAAATTCAAACAACAATATCCATAATTCTTCTTCCTTGCCCTCTACCATAATTTGCCCCATCTCTCCTTGACTCTGTGTTTGCATAATGTTATCTGGGATTAGCTAACAGAATATGTATCTACCACTAATACAAGCACAACAGAGACTCTGATACTTTCAATCTTACAGCGGAGATAAAAAGACACCCCTGTAGCAACAAGAAACATTAACGATATAGATAAACCATAAATTATCTCCTGAAAAATTAGTTGTAATTTAAATATCCCACATTCAGGTGTTTAGAAAGGTGATAGTATTGGTGAAGTTAAGCACTTGGCTATTTCTCTTCTTTCTGCAAAACCAGGCCATTTTGGTATAATATCCATAGACACAAATACAAACATTCCAACTGCATGATGCACATTTTAGAAGATGGAAAAATTCACATTGGTTTAAACACCTGACATAAAATCAAACAGTATAACTAGTGATATTGCACAAGCTCTAGAGAAGATATATGCTCAGCCATTCGTATCTGCTATTTAATGTAAAATGAATGTGCATTATCATTGTCCCTGACTTTCCAGTCATCCAATTTTCTACCAAACCCTGTATTCACTTTCCTTTGCAAGCAATTTAAAATATGTTAAAATGAATATTTTGTATGTCTCTTACCTATTTCAATATGTGTTGAGAGACCACACGGCATACATCTTTGGCAGAGATTATAAACTATAATCAGCTGCAGAACAGACCAAACCTTGAAACCATCCATATTGCTGATGTACTGGCACATAAATCCTGGCTTTGAAAATGCTTAGGGGAGTATTACAGTGACCTTTGAAATCTAGGTTACAATATATTTCTCTCCTTTAAAGCATGTCATTGACACAGAGGCTAACCTGTCAGGTTATTTGAAATGCCACTGATTTCCAGTTTGATGTTAATCATTATCAGCATTTACTTTTACAGCAGAGTGAATGTATCTTATGACCAAAGAAAAAAGAAATCTGTACTGAATGATTGTTTTCCATCCTGAAATCAGTGACAAGGATAATTTCTATTACTTGACCTTCCATACTTCTGTAGATGATATTGTAAGATCAAGTGTGTCACTCAAAAATATTTGCAGTATGGCATACACCTGTCTTGTGCAGCTACATCAGATTTTATAGAAAACCAAACACAAAATTATAAAGTGGCGATATCTTTTAGCTGAAAATCAACAAACAATTTCACAAGGCTTGAGGTGATTAACCACAGAGCTTACTACTCTCCCCACCAACAAGGGACATGTATGTGTCTGTAGTTTAGGTCCCATATAACCCGTGGAAGTTTGTAAAACTAGTGCTTAGGCTGTTTTCCACTAAGAGTTGAGTGGGCTCTTGTAATATCTCTTGTAAGCATTTGTTAGGGGTTTTTCAGCTCCTGTTGCCTGCATGGAGTCTGGGGCTCAGGTCTGTCAAAAGTTTGACAAACCTCTGAGCAATGATGGCCCCATTTTAAAATCTGTCACAAAACCTCAAAACTAAGGAAAAATCGTTTAGGGCCAGATGTTGCAGCGATCTTACATGCATGCTTAACATTACACACAAGTTCAACAGGACAAAGCAGAACAACTCAAGTTAAATCAATGCAGCTTTGTGGCTCTACTCCCCTGCAACATCAAACTCCTATCAAGCCTGTCCGTAGGGGGGGCAAAGGGTGTGAAAGCACCCCCATGGTCCACTAAGTAAGCATGCTTCGGCCTGCTAGGGGAAGGCAGGAGCAGTGCTCTGCCAGAGCTGCCCTCCCCCATGCTCTGACCTGCTGGGGGAAGAGTGGAGCTAATTTCCACACTTTCATGGGGGACCATGGGGGGTGCATTCACACCCGTGTGGTCCACATTTACAAAAAAAAAGCACACACCCCCCACAGAAATTCCTGCATATGGGCCTGCATATGAACATTGAGCTATTGGTATTAGAAGTGGATTAGCCTTAGCCACAAAAAAGTGCTTTCAGTTCAAAATATGAGTATCCACATGGACAGCTAGTGCAGAATAGCTCCTAGAGTGTCCACTCACATGCTCCTAGGATACAGGCCATTCCAGTACATCTGGGAATGGCATGAACGAGTAGAGCCCTGCAAATCTGAAGATATCCACAGATCATTTTTGCGGATATGGATGCAGATACAAATGCGCAGGTATCTGTTTTATATTCGCAGGTATCCGATCTATCCACGGATCATTTCTGCAGATGTGCACACACATTTTGGATGGGTCTCTCCCCATGGGGGTGAACTTGCCCTCATTGCCATGACCTTGCCCATCCAGTCTTATGGTATCATGTCAAAGGAGGCAAAACAGAACACTCTTATCAATGGTGTTTGTATCCAATAGACAAACGCCATGTCCCAGGACAGGGGAAGAGC